AACAGTACATATGAATTATAAATATGCAATATTATTTACCCAACCACAGAAATGGAACTTTTTAAAATATATTTGTGATCCTACAGTGAAAATAGCAACAGAAATGCTTTACATTCCATGTCCAGTCACAAGATGGGATGGCAGTCAGATATGCAGCCACAAATCAGATTCAGATGTACAATTTCTGGCGATTACTTTGGAGGGAGTAGGACGACAAAACAAACCACCACAATGCAACACGCATTAAAAGCGTGCCAAAAATCGCATCATGCCAGAAAAATACACCAATTGCAACAAGCACAGATGTGAACCAGGCTTTAGTGCCCATTCTAACAGTTCATACAAGGGTGACTGCATCTACTGGAACTTTAAAACAGACAGTAAAATCCTCTGGGGATGAGGAAAACTGACTCGATGCAGCAACCTTCATACCCTCCCTCTAACGTAGCTTTTTCTTATCTTTTCTAAAATCAGCAATATGAACTGCTTAGTCTGCCTACATTTTCTCTTTACGACCATTCCATCTCTAATTGTTACAGTATAAAATAGCATACAAGACAATTTCCTCAGGCCTTGCACAATGGTTGAACACACAATGTATGTGTTTACTTTTTTTGGAAACAGTGTTTTTTTTTCTAAACATATCAAATGCATAAATCTCACCACCAGACTGCACGATTTAGGCCTCATGCACACAGGTCATTTCCTTATCTCTCCTAGACGCCTTTCCTCCTGGCAGCAGTGTTTTTGCAGAAAAGATGCATTTAGATGTGCCAAGCGCTTTGGCATTAAATTGATTTCATTGGCTAGAATAAGAATTTATCTTGGCCATCGCTAAATGCACCTAGCGTTTAACATGTGTTTAGACACACACATGCAGCAGAATTTTTCTTGCCAATGCTGCTGCTCCTGGACAGAGTGGGCTTTTTTTCTGCACCCATACACCCTTCACAAAAAGACTGACGCAAGCAAAACATGATGCCCTTCATTCAGGTATTGGCATCTTCCAAGCTGGATAAGGCTGCAAGGCTATCTAAAATCCTTTTTATGGAGCCTTGCCAAGAAATATATAAAGCAGAGCAAAAAAAAAAAAAAAAAAAATGTCTTTCACACAATCTCTCAACTAGGCATTTGCTTTGCTTCATCCAAAATCAAATGTGGGTTATAGCGCTTTTTTTTTTTTTTTTTTTGGAAACACATGGGTGTAGAATTATACCATAGATCCCAAATTTGATGGAATTTTAGGACAGTTCCTATTCCCACATTGGACCTTTTTATAAGAGATAATCTGATTAACCAATGACTTCCACTGGGTTACATAGAAGATGGACTCATTCATGTCATACCTTTACAAGCCATAACATAACGTTTCGCATAGTATGTATCCTAGTTACAAAAAATTCCTTTTAGTGCTTGCAGGCTCAAACTTTTTGTTTTTTTTAGTGCTGTGATCCAACCTTCTGTTATAGGATTTGTTCTCCATGGTCCCACTCTAGGTAGGAATGTAGCCAAACTCTTGCTTGCTCCCGTGGTGGACTAGGGACAATGAACTATGGGATGTGTACTGTGCATACAGCAGTGCACATGACCACAACTAACGTATGCTGCTAGTTACAAACCAATGACAAAGAAAAAAAGGAAAAAAAAAAAAAAAAAAAAAAAAGGAAGAGGTTTGGGAGCTCGGAGGACATTACAAGGAAGTAGAAAAACACAATAGGAAATTATTTCAAGTAAAATAGTTTACAGGGCCATCAAAGTAGTGAATGTGTATGGAATCTTTTTGAAAATAAAAACAAGGATTCCCGAGTGTGACTTTAGGACAGGAGACAGCTGGATCCACAGTGGGAACAGACCACTTCCATTCAAAGTTCTCACCAAATAGATACAATTCTAAAAAGGGCTGGGGAGGCAGGAAAATAACTTATTAGGATGCTTCCAGTCTCAATAGAGAAATGGAAAAAACAGTATAAAAAAAAAAAAAAAAAAAAAAAAAAAAAAAGGGAAAGTTTTCAAGTTCTGAGTTTTAAACAATCCAAGGCTGGAGATAGCACTGGTAGAAAACAAAAGGCTAATCCTCTAGTTTCAAGGTAGTATACAATGTATAAAGAGCCAAAAATGGTCTCCTTTAAAGTAGAACTAAAGGTTTTTTACCTTCATGTAACTCCCAATCCATACCAGATGCCCCTCAGCCACCCCCAATCCTTACCCGATCAGCGACGTTCATGACAGCCTCTGCTGTGTGGGGACTCTTCCTCGTCATTGGCTGAGACAGACAAACCACAGCAAGTGAGCCAGAGAGGGGGGGGGAGAGAGAGAGAAGCAGCTCAGGGGACAAGAATGCAACACAGCCCCAAGGGTGAGTGGCTTTCCCTGGGGGCATTGCTTGAGGGAAGAGGAGCCAGGAACAGCGGTGGCGACCCAACAAGAAAAGAAATCGGGTCTGCTCTGTGCAAAAGCACTACACAGAGTAGGTAAGTAAGTATAGACATATTATTTTAACCCCCTCCTTTAACAACAAAAAAAAAAATAAAAAAACGAATTTTTTTGTCACTCGAATTTTAGAGTAATAGCAGTAGATTGTAGCTCCTGAGGAGCAAGCACAACAGTCAAAAACTGGAGCGACTCAGAATCAGACTCTGCAGTTGATAACTCGGAAGCAGGTAAGGTTCCAAGCAAATTAGACATAGAATTTGTATGAAAGGGCGCAGGAGCACACCTGTGACCCGTGTTCGAGGTCCGCAAATAAAAGAGGAGGATTTCGCCCATGAGGTATTACACAATTGTGGTAATGAACTCAACCAAAAGATGAGGAGGATGCAGCCACACCTAGACAGAATTAAAGAGGAATTGGGTGACTAAGCAGACTCCAAAAGCAGAAGACATTACCCCAAGCTATAGGCAGAGTCACAGTCAGTAGGAACGCTGCAAGCAACCCAGGTACAGAAGGACTAAATGACTTGTTAAAACATGAAACACAGGGCTAGCTGCTGCAACATTCTCATTCGATCCAGAGACGTCCAGTGCAGTACTTTGTTTTGCTGCTAGATGTCCTCAGTTTGATAGCCTGCATCAGTTAGCTCATTCCCGCTAAGCTCATGTCAACCAGGACTCATACCCTGCTGTGATTGGACAGTGAAGGAAGAAGCTGCACAGTGATATTCAAATCTATACATCCCTAGGCTTTATCTTCCTTTTAATATACTTCTTGTCAACTCATGAATTGGCTGGCACCTTGTACTGCTTCTTCCTCTGGCACTCCAGGTCTACTATATAGGAGTGGCAAGAGGCACATTTCAGGACAAGAATAGGTACTTGTCCAGTAATATTTAGAGCTGAATTAATGGCTATACCATAACTTTATGTAATGTGCCAAAGATTATGTTAAACCACTCTGCGCAATATAGAGAAGTCTCACAGTGTCTCTGGGAGAACCAGCGGCTCTTTTTTTTTAGTTTATTCCATACTTTTGTTACCATCTTTTCTACAGTCCATATGTAGGAGAGGTGAACAGTATCATTTTGAATGGTCAGTGGCATACTGGCGGATTTATTGACAAAGAACTGCGAATACCCAGTCTACAGAAAAAGATTTAAAGTGTTACTAAACCCAGGACCCTGCATTCACTATATCTGGTCTCCCACAGTACACACAACATGGAAGTGCAATTATTTTAGTAAATATAAACTGCTAAATACCTTTTCTCATCAACAGTTAAAGCAGTCTTGTGACTTCTACCAGTGTTCAGCGAGCTTACAGGAGTTTTCTTTCTGCTCTCAGAGGATGCAAAACCCCTGACCTCTGTCTGGACAGTGCTGATTGGCTGTGTGCTGATCACATGCACTCTTCCAAGAAAAAAAACACAAAAAAAAAAAAAAAAAAAAAAACACCTTCTCTAACAATAGACACCACCATAGACAACTGAGCATGTGCAGAATGGCTACAGTTCAGTCTGTCTTATCAGGAAATAAGATGTGGACATTTGAACAAAAGGAGGATCAGAGAAGTCAGGATCAAAATATCCTTTACACTATGCAGAGGTTTAACCCCTTAGGTCCCACAGTGAGTATAACAAGCATGCTTTACTGCATATACAGACGGATTTTACTGTTGTGGGTTTAGTAACACTTTAACGGCTTGCCCTCCTGAGGATTTACCCCCCCCCCCCCTTCCTGACCAGGTCATGTTTTGCGATACAGCACTGCGTTATTTGAGAATTGTGCGGTCATGCAACGCTGCAAATGAAATACAAAGCAGTGTGCAGAAGCTGACAGGGGAGAGAACTGTATTGTTTAAATACAGTTCTCTCTCCCAGTTGGTACTACTTGGCGATCACTGGGTGACTGAGTAATCACTGATCGAGATCCAGTGACTGACGTAAATAGCGGCGCATGCAAGCGGTAAAGAGACCCCAAAACATTAATGTACTAGTAACCTGGGGATTTTACATCAGGGGTGGTTTGGTCTATTCAAGCAATGACAAGGGCAAAAAAAAAAAAAAAAAGAAGTTAGGAAACCATGCCGTTTTCCCTTTACGTGTTAGGGCCTTTGTCAACACATCAATTTGAGACGATTCAAAAATCAGATCGCTGCAAGCAGGTTTTGCATTTACATAAACTTGTCCCAGATTGCAAAGCTTGTCTTATGCAGGCCATAGACAGGTCGTTTATCGGCCAAATTTTTGTTCACACGAAAAATCACCCGATATTCACGCCATTAGTGGGGCCAGCCCGTCGGCCGGTTTTTGCGGATCTTCTCATTTAGTTTTATCGGTCATGCTGGAAAAACCATGAAAAACATCACATGGGTGGCAGCATTGGCAACGGGGGCCGACCTATTTTCGTTTAGCGGCTGAAAATTCGGACCGATAAACAGCCCGTCTATGGCCTGCCTTAAGTGCACAAACTTCCATCAACGATCACTTTTAAACACCCACATGATAAACATACGCCAATGAAATCTAGCTTCTCAAATGAAAAAAAATTAAAAAGAATGATGCTTACTTTTTTGTTAGCTCATCAAGGTCAGACCGATACTTCCCCAGCTCTATCTGTAGCTTAGCTCTGTGTCTCGCCGTTTCATCCAAAACCTTTCGAGCATCAGCCAGCTCAGCCTCGTACAGGTCTTTGATTACACTGACCTAAAATTCCAAAGTTGGAAGAAAAAAAAAAAAAAAAGTTAAAATAGTAATGTTGGGCACCAAAAACGTAACCAGTAGGTTATGTGCTTCACATGCCAAGAGCGAGTTTAAAAAAAAAAAAAAAAAAAAAAAAAAGCCATGGAACCACAACTTTTCAATGTAATACAAACAAAATCACCCCTACTCACCCATAGATTGCCAGCTTTGCAACACACAAAAGAGAAACAAGTTGCTACATAAGTCACGGGGACTCAGTTTATGCAAAGATGCCAATATGAATGATTCATCACTAACTGTTTTCAAGCAGTTTACTAGCACACCATACAATCTAATGTACAGAGATTAACAATCTGGATAGGTTAGGTTTACTGTACAATTATATAGTTTTGATATATGTAAAGCAATCAGTTTGAATCCAATCTAACAGGTCCTTGTACTACAAAGTTGATAGGGCAATAGTGGGGGGGGGGGAGGGGGGGAGAGAGGAGGAGGAGGGAGGAGGAGGAGGGGGAGGAGGAGGAGGAGAGAGCGCAAACACCATATTTTTCGCTCCATGAGACGCACTTTTTTTCCCCCAAAAAAAGGGGGGGGGAATGTCACTGCGTTTTATGGAGCAAATATGGAGCGGCCAGCCCGGTATTTCTGCCGCCGCTACCATGTCAGAATACCGGGCCGGCCGCTCAGCTCTTCTCTCCTGCAGGACCTTACCTCTTCCTCTGTCCAGTGCTGTAGTCTTCCCGCGCTGGCTTCTGTGACAGCTGAATGCCCACTGCGTATGCGCGAGAAGCGCTACGCTTTGTGAATGGTCCGGCGACTTCTGGGACACATGACAGATCCCAGAAGGCACCGGGCCATTCACAAAGCGCAGAGCTTCTCGCGCATGCGCATGGCAGTAGGCACCCAGCTGTCACAGAAGCCGGTGCGGGAAGAAGCCAGCGTGCCCACACTAAAGAAAGGACAACTTCAGGTACCCGCTACCCCTCCCTCCCCAAAAGGTCCGCAGTCTCTGGTCATCCCCCCTGTACCGTGTCCCCAGTCCTGGTGCACCGTGTCCGCAGTCTCTGGTGCATCCAGTCTCTGTACCGTGTCTCTGGCAGTCCGCAGTCTCTGGTCAACCCCATCCCCTGTACCCCCGTGTCCGCAGTCTCTGGTCATGCCCCCCTGTACCGTGTCCGCAGTCTCTGGTCATCCCCTGTACCGTGCCCGCAGTCTCTGGTCATCCCCTGTACCGTGCCCGCAGTCTCTGGTCAACCCCTGTACCGTGCCCGCAGTCTCTGGTCAACCCCTGTACCGTGTCCGCAGTCTCTGGTCATCCCCTGTACCAGTGTCCGCAGTCTCTGGTCATCCCCTGTACCGTGTCCGCAGTCTCTGGTCATCCCCTGTACGTGTCCGTGTCCGTCAACCCCACCGTGTCAGTCTCTGGTCATCCCCTGTACTGTGTCCGCAGTCCATTGGTTCAGAATATTTTCTTCTCGTTTTTCACCTCTAAAACCTAGGTGCGTCTTATGGAGTGCGAAATACGATATATATTATATATAGATATATCCATCTCTGTGGGCTGAGCCACGGCTTTATGTGTCTTATGGACGCATAGAGCCGTGGCTCAGGGACAAGCATGCAGCGGTGCCCCCCAGGGCAAGCGGCATTCCCTGGGGGCACTGCTTGAAGTGGGATGAGACAGGAGCACCGGTGGGGACCTGCTAAGAAGAGTATCAAGGCTGCTCTGTGCAAAACCACTACACAGAGCAGCTAAGTATAGACATGGAAAAAAAAAAAAAAAAAAAAAAAAAAAAAAAAAAACGACACCACCCCACACACACACAACCCCCCCCCCCCCCCCCGAAACTTTAGTATTCTTTTAAATAATTTGCATTGACACACAAAAACAAGGGAAAAAAAAAAATATATATATATATATATATAATATATATTATATATATATATATATAATATTGTTGGACATTTGTAACACACCAGCACAAAGCATACATGCGGTGTGGGGTAAATGGTTCCAGAGGGAGAAAGAATTTTAGATTTTTACAAATCAGCCTTTAATGTTTTGTAACAAGATGTTGCGGCTGGATTCACTAATACAGGACAACAGACATGTTATTGGTGTTAAATCCCACCAGACAATGCCCCATAAAAGTAGCTGTCAGAGAACAAAGACCAAGCATTAAACCACAGAGTGTCAAGGATACCTTAAGCTGAGCCTTCTTTCTGGCAAGCTGTGATCATAAACACACCAAACAATACACCATCACCAGCCTGCAGACCACAAACCTGCTTTGTTATAACCAGGAAAACCTGTCAGTACAACACTTCATATCAACCACCATTAGACTCACTCATGGAGGCTGATTGATATATTAGAGGATTTGAGACTCTTTACACAATCATTTGTGTGACAATTCACTGCCATTATCCTGTCATATCAAATACATGTTTACTTATTTAATCCACACTATTGCGGATTCAAAGAGGAGGAATTTGATTTTTTATATGATTAAATAATGGATGTGAATTTTCACACCATTTGTTGTATGAAACTTCAACCCAAAAATGTCCATCTTCAAGGAGCCTGTGAAAATGAAATCTCCAAAAACAAAAGCCCCATACACATGATGAGAATATCGGATGAATGAGCATCTTTTTTTTTTTTTTTTTTTTTTTTACTTGCTAGTCTCATATCGAAAATGAAGAGGTTAATGAAGTTACTAAAATGCTTGTAAGACAGAATACAACTTCAGAAAACATGTAATATAACGTATTGTAATGTATTCTTTCGTTTCTGAGCATGCACGGTCTGATGAACACTAATTGAAAATGAAAATCATTTGTTCTGATATTACACGAGACAAATGTCCGTGCTTGTCCCTCCCGATATCTTCGCATGAACGGTCGTGATAGGCTCTCGAAAGCTGTGCACTAACCAGATTATTGGACGATCACGCCTCATATGGAAATTTTCAAATGATTTTCTTATTGTGTACGGGCCTTAAGTGCTTAGGGCTTATTCACACCCACAGCAAGTCTTTGAAAGGCAATTTGCAATGGATCACTTTTCAGAGATACAGGAGTTGTTGACCGGCATTCAGGAGGCATCACCTTCTGAATACCTGGTTTTTGTTTTTTCTGACAGCCAAACTAGGTTTTTTTTATTTTTTTTTTTTTTTTTATTAAAATGATGCACAGCAACTGAAATTCTAGCACTTGTGGTATGGATGGCCCCTTTGTTTGAAAGGGTGTACAATTTTTGCTGCATCGCAGCTTGTGTAAAACCTTAGCAAGCTGCCTTTGCAAATTAAAGCTTTTGTAAAAATCTCTTTTTTTTCTTTTAATAAAAAATTATACTTACCTGCTCCGTGCAATGGTTTTACACAGAGGGGCCTGAACCTCTTCTTCTGGGATCCCCTGCTGGTTTCTCCTCCTCTTTTTGGTGTGCCACCATAGGTAACAGCTTCCTATTGTGGCACACCTGCAGGCTTGATCCCTAGCCAGGCTGTGTGAATCTATTGACACACCAATAGCAGCATAGCCCCAGCCCCTGCTCACAGGATCTGCATAAAAGGGGGTGGGACAATACAAACACTGGGACATTTTTACCTTATTGCAGGGAATGCATTAAAGTAAAAAAACATCCAGGCTTTAGAACCGCTTTAAGGGGGGAGGCAATAAAACCGTGGCTCAACCACCAATTTTTATGAGCTCCCCGACCACAATTATAAACTAGGCCTAACATTTATTGGAGTGGACATTTACCACTTACATACAGCCCTACTTTTTTGAATAGCAAAGTGGTGCCGCTTATTTTTGCAGTACCATTTAGAAAGACTAACTTCCTGAGCGATTCACATGCACTGCAACTTGAGCCCATTCATTTTGAGACGCACTGGACTGCATCAAACATAGCACTGCAACCTGATCACATGGTACTTCTGCACCGCATTTGCAACTTGTGCTTGGGGTGTTAATTTACCACTTAAGCATTGATTTTACCCCCTTTATGAGTTGGCCAATTTTGCTATTTGGCACCGCGCTACTTTGACTGGCAATTGTGCGGACATGCAACACTGTACCCAAATTAAATTTATATTTTTTTTCCCACAAATAGAGCTTTCTTTTGGTAGTATTTGATCACCACTGTTTTTTTTTTTATTTATATTATATAAATTAAAAAAAAGGCTGAAAATTTTGGGAAAAAAAAAAAAAACGCGTATTTTCTGCTATAAAACATGCAATTGAAAAAAAAAAAAAAAAAAAGTTTAAAAATCGAATTAATTTCGTCATTAAATTTACGACAAAATTTGTTCTGCTATGTCTTCATTAAATAAACAGTAAAAAAAAAAAAAAAAAAAAAAAAAAAAAAAACATACAAACCAATAAGCATATAATAACTGGTTTGTGTTGAAAGTTATAGCGTATCACATATATATTTATTTTTTTAATACTAGTGATGGTAGCTATCAGCGACTTATAGCGAGATTATGATAGCATGGCAGGCAATCTGACACTTTATGGGAACTGAGAGTGCTAAAAATATACACGACGCTATGCTAATGACACTGGCTGGGAAGGGGTTAACATTTAGGGGCAATCAAAGGGTGAACTGTGTGCCTAACAAGTGTAAATGTGTTATCTGTGTGCTGTTTTTACTAAGCAATGTGCTGCTTTTTATTCCCTGCTTAACAACAGAGCTCTATCACTTGCTCCAATGATCAGTGGGTCCCGACCATAAATCACTGACTGGGACCCAATAATCAGCATGTGTGCTGGAGCCAGTGAAAGCGACGCACACATCCCCAACTCGGAAGTTACGTACATGATTCAGCGCAGTGGGCCAGCACATTACACATATGTACAGTGCGTGGTCCACAAGTGGTTAAAGCGGAACTAAACCCCTCAATTTAAACCCTTACATATACCCAGTGAAGTGACTGGCCTCAGGCGATACAGAGGTGAAACAAATCCTTCTACATAAGTTGTACCTGCAGACTTCACTTCATATGTTCAAAGTGCAGAATTTATAAAGGATCTCTCAGCTCTGAAAAGCAGGGAGAGGAGAGCCGAAGTTGCATCAATGAGAACTCAGAGCTGATTGGAGGGAAGAGACAACCCCTTCACACAGCTCCTAGGAACAGAGCTGAGGCTGTCAACCTGCTGGATGTCCCTCTTCATCACTATTTCTATTTTAGTGTCAGGAAAACATGTCAGAAGTGATTCATGCTGACAGCAGAGGAACAAGGCAGCAGTCAGAAATGACACTTAAATGCTCTTAATAAAGACACGTACACACTAAAGAGGGATATGCTTTGTTCATATTTCATGTCTGAGGTTTACAACCACTTTAAACTGATAGTAAAACACTTTAATATTTTTACCTACAGGTAAGCTTGAAATAAAGCTTACCTGTAGATAAAATGAATGTCTCCTAAAGGTGCACCATTTAGGAGATATTAGTTCTTTTTGACAGCCGGTGCATGTGCTCTGAAGGAAAGGCAAACCTGTGTTGTTTCTTTAGAACACTGTGCCAGACGGCCACAGCTCCTGAACCCAGAAAGAGGACCGGGTGAAGATGGAAGCCCTGTTGGCAGTGACAGCATGCTGCTGGAGGGTTTTGTTTTTTTTTTTTTTTTAAAGGTGACAGGGTACATATTGAGAGGCTGGGAGTACAGACTGAGATAAAGCAAATGCTTACATTTTTACATAAACACCACCCATAAAGCCTATCAGAAGTACAACTCTAGTTCCAGTATAGGCATATAGGGTACAGAGGACAATGTATCCAAAGGGTAAGGCACAAAAGCCACAAATCTTACACAAGACCACCAAGGCAACAGGGTGCAAGACATAAGGAAGTTCAACAGATGTGACATTTCTATATCACCTGAGACTGCAGAGGTCCAGGACAAACCATATTTTGAGGGCTTTCATTTTAACCACTTGCCCTCCAGAGGCTTTACGCCCCTTCCTGACATGGCCAATTAGTTCACATGAAAATTATAGCACCTAGAAATGTCAGTAAATATACACTCGAATTATAATTTTTTTTTTTTACACTAATAATGGCACCGATCAGCGACTTATAGCAGGACTGCGGTGGGCAGACACTGGGGGGAACTGACTAACTGCCACTGATACAGTGATCAGTGCTAATAAAAAGCACTGACACTGTACTAATGACACTGGGCAGGAAGGGGTTAACATCTGGGGTGATCAAAGGGTTAACTGTGTGCTGTGTGTGTTTTACATTATGTGCTGTGTTTTACTACAGAGACAGAATGCAAGTGTACAATCCAAACGCACACATCCTGGTCACATGCCTGATGAAGGGGTCCTGCGAGACTCCGAAACGTTGCCTTGCTGCAGTTATGTGATCATTAAAACCTTTGGACACATATTGGTGATCCTTTGTGTGCTGGTGACATTTTCCCTTACTACAGAGTCATGCTGCGCAGAGAAATACAAAGCAGCATGTCCTTGCTGACAGGAGAGAGACCTGTGTTGTTTACACACAGGTCTTTCCCCTGTCAGCTCTGCCAACGATCGCAGAGTCCCAGTCGAGAATCACCGGCTGGGACCCGATGACTGACATGTTCATCAGCCAATAGCGGCGTGGGTAGGGCGGTACACGCCCCCTACCCAGAAATGCAAACCACTAGTGGTGCACCAAAATAATTCTGGTGCTGAAACCAAAAATTAAAATGCACTTACCGAAACGTGTAGTTTTAAAAAATAAATATATATTTTGTGGAAAAAAAAATACACATTGATTAAAAAAAAACAATATATACCCCAATTTTTTTTGTAAAATAAGAAAAAGGATGTTACAGCTTTAAAATTGCGCATGCTCGTGGAATGGCGTGAAACTGCGGTACTTAAAAATCTCCATGGGTGATGCTTTAAAAAATTTCTACAGGTTAGCAGTGTAAAGTTAAAGAGGAGGTCTAGTGCAATAATTATTGCTCTGACGTTCGTGTCGATACCTCACATGTGTGGTTTGAACACCATTTACATATGTGGACATGGCCTACGTATGCGTTCACCACTACGTGCGAGCACGGGGGAACTTTAACCCCTTTGCGCCGGCACCTCCTGGTACTTTAAGAGGTTTCAGAAACCGCGGGGCGAGGTTTTAGGGGCATGTGACCACCGTGATTCGCTGTCACATGATCGGAAATGGTCCCGATCGCAAGGGGAGATCGGGACCTGTGAGTCACGGACATATGTGCTGGGAGCGAGCAGGGCACGCACTGTCAGCACATATGTATTTTCAAATGGTATGCAAATATGCAGCCGCTCAGCATCAAGGCCCAGACGCCGAGAGGCCACATATTTGTGTGCGCCCCGTTCTACGGGTTAAACGTTTTTTTTTTTTTTTTTTTTGCACTGTCCCTTTAAAAAAAATGTTTAATCACTTTTATTCTTATCACAAGGAATGCATGCATCCCTTGTGATAGAAATAATTAGTGACAGGTGCTCTTTATGGAGATAAGGAGTCAATAAGACCTCATCTCTCCTCAGCAATGTAAAGCATTGGATCATAAAAAAAAAAAAACACAAAACCACACACACACGGAACACAGAGAAGTGACATCGCTCCAGTCCTCCAAGGGCATAGAAATGAGTGAAGGCCATCTTTCCTTCACTCATCTCTATGCCCAGTGCCGGGATCGTTCTATGCTTTCTCCCGTAAGGCCCACGGCCAAAAGGGGCGTTTTCAGCCGAAACATTTCAGCCACCGAAATTTTGGTGCATTCCTACAAATCACTGATATTTACGTGACTTTGCGCAGCCCTACAGCTGTACTTCTGCTATAGGGAGGCGTGAAAGTGGTTAAAGCGGAGCTCCACCCAAAAGGGGACGTTCCGCTTTAAGGACTGCTCCCCCGCTCCCCATTAAGGATTGGCACCTGGGGGGGGGGGGGAGCTGGTACCCAAATTTGACAGATACCAACTCCCATTTCTGGTCCGATCAAACGGAAGGTGTCCTCCCTCCCTCCAGTCTAGACTACAGGACCATTCACAAAGCGCAGTGCTACTCGCGCATGAGCAGTGGGTACCCAGCTATGAAGCCACAAGCTATCACAGCCGGGTGCCCACATTGAAGATGCCAGCCTCCTGGAATACAGGACGGCCGGTGAATTGGGCTGCGGGGGACACACCACGGGACTGATGGACAGCTAAGTGGCTGTTTTTTTTTTAAAAATGCAGCAGCTACAGTTTTTGTAGCTGCTGACTTATTTTGACAGGTGAGTGGAACTCCGCTTTAAGGCAAGTCCATCCTAATGTGCCAGTACACGATGCATCCTAGCACATAATGACATTACTTTGCAGAGCATCTGCCATTTACTACCGCTTTAACGGTTTCAATAAGCAGTCACATTCCTAGCATACCGACAATGCTGTCAGATTTGTTGTGCTGTCCACTAAAGCGTCCAATGACAGGTGTCATAACTGATCACAAGGTGCAGCCCCTTGACAACTGCAGAGTAAACAGAGGCCAGGATGGCAGCCTCCTTGGCTGAAATGGAGAGGAGGGTTTAGTTCCACGTTTAACATTGACACCCACCGCAGATCACAATGATGAACGCACTGTGTGAAACGTGCATAGAAACATGGGCTTCCTGCACTGCGTCCTGCTGCGAACCGGCCATAAACACCAAAAGAAAGGTCTGTGTAAAAATAGAGGGCCACACAAGACTCATTCCATTCCAATGTCAGAGTAATAGGTCGAAGCAGAACAAGCTGAGGGAAAGAGAACAAAAAAAAAAAAAAAAAGCGTTTTTCTTCAATATGTGAGCTCCAGAGCTGACAAAGTTTGAATGAAGGCGGCTGGAGTCCCTCCTCCCCTCCAGACTGAGGACAATGCCCCCCTCCCCCATGGCTGTGATGAATGGACTGCCATGTAGAGTACAGCAGAGCCGGCATGGCTGTCCCATCATAGGAGAAGCCCAGGGTCCCCTCACACTCACCTCACGGGTGGTGACCTCCTCCTTCTCGGAGATCTTCACCATCAGCCGGTCATTCTCCAGCTCCAGAGAACGGACCCGGTCTATGTAGACGGCCAGGCGGTCATTGAGTTGCCGCAGTTCTTCCTTCTCCTGCAGGCGGCTGATGCGAGTTGGCGAGAGAGGGGTGCGAGCGCCCCGAGCCGGGGACTGCGACATAGCGGCCGCCTGGCGGCTAGGGGTGGATGTTGCCATGCTCCTATCGGGACTCCCGCCAAGCACTTACTACCAGACACAAGACACGGCCCCGGAGCTCCTTTCTCCCCAGGCAACGGTCACTTTTCATTCAATGGCGGGAGTGATTAGCATCGCCCAATCCCAAGGAGAGGACACACGTGACGTCAGGGCCATGCGCTACGCTGGTGCTGCCATGATTTTTGAGGGCACAGGGGTATCCCTAGCGTGGTGTCTGAGTGAACGTGCGGCTTCATTCCATAACTCATGCCCTTCTTAAAGATGGCACTCTAGAACAAGGGGAGTGGCGGCCTAGGAGGACTGGCGTGCGGCCATTTTATAGCTGGTGGCTGACAGCAGAGGCGCTGGTTTAGGGCTGTGTTTTGGTTTTTACTACTTTTGCAGTCGGCTTTTGTTACTGCCCTTGTGTGTTATGTGGCTTTGCTGGCACAGGCGGCTTACAATGGAGCTAAAACCTGACCTCACAGTCTGCTGCACCTGCTTGCTGTGGAAATTGTATCCACATGTACATGCATTCTGCAACAATGTTTTCCCAAGAAAACCCTTTCTGGGAATTTATGGCTGGATCCGGAGGTTACAAAAGTGCCACTTTGCAGCAATGATTTTTTTTCTTAGGCCCTCTTGAGCTTACTTTCCCAGCATGGAAAGCCCACGAAGAACAGTCCAATTTAACTACTTGCCTACCGGGCGCTTTTACCCCCTTCTGCCCAGCTTTCAGTGCTGTCGCACTTTGACAATTGCGCGCTCATTCAACACTGTACCCATATGCAATTTGTATCATTTTTTCACCCAAGCAGAGCTTTCTTTTGGTGGTATTGTTTTATTTTTTTTCCACTATAAACGAAAAAAGCAAAACATTTGAAAAAAAATGTTCTGTGTTTCTATTATAAAATATTGTAAACAGGTGATTTTTCTCCTTCACTGATGTGCATTAATGAGGCTGCACTGATAGGTAGCGCTGATGATACTGATACTTCATCAGTGCTGCCTATCAGTGCCACTTCATCAGTGCTGCCTGGCATTGATAGGCATCACTGATGGGAACTGATAGGCATCACTGATGAGGTGGCACAGATAGGCATCACTGATAGACAGCACTGATAGTGGCATAGGCATCACTGATGGGCACTGATAGGCAGCACTGATGAAGTGGCACTGATAGGCATCACTGATGGGCACTGATAGGGCACTGATAGGCATCATTGATGGGCACTGATGCAGCACTGATGGCACAGATAGGCATCACTGATGGGCACTGATAGGCTGCACTGATGAGGCAGCACTGGTAGGCATTGATGAGGAGGCACTGATGATACTGCACTGATAGGCGGTACTGATGTGCAATACTGACGGGTGCCACTGATGAGCACTGCAGGGCACTGATGATCAGTGCCGATCTGCTCTGTGACAGCTGACAGTTGCCAGTTATCGGCAGTACTTTCCTCTTGATGTGACAGCGTGAGGAAAGTGCTGCCGATAACCAGCATCTGTATTTACTTGATGATCTGCTGTGTCACTGGACCAGGGGCAGACTGACCATTTGGAAACTCGGGCACTGCCCGAGGGCCCGGGATCAGTAGGGGGCCCCATGAGATGCCCCTGGTACCTTTTTCATAGGCTTTTTTGAGTTTGGGCAAGGACACAGGGGACCCCATGATCCCCTATTGCCCGGGGGCCCCATGAGTTGTCAGTCCGCCCCTGCACTGAACACAGCTGATCACGTGGTAAAAGTCCGCTGTGATTGGGCTTTTACCTCATCATGTGATCAGCTGTGTCTGTAGGACACAGCGATCATGGAGATCGCCGGGTGCTCGGAGGAGTGTGCATCCTGGGAGGACGTCATATGGTGCACTCTCAGAACTGGACAACCACACTGTAGCTGTCATTCAGCTATAGCGCAGTACGGATGTGGTTAAAGGATAAGTTCACCTTTTGGACAAAAATAATAAACGCACATTTTTTTTTCAGGTTATTTCTGTCTACAGGAGCCTGGAAAGCATTTCACCAGTGATCAGTAGATCGCTGATGCCATGCAGGTCTCCTGCAGACCTGTCAGAATATCTGCTTGCCGTATGGGTTGTACGGTCAGCCCAGGTTCACATTGATGCGGTGCAGCGCATCTCATGTGATTCGCACAGGAACCGCACTGCATTCCTGTGCAAATCACATGCAATTTCTGTGTGGTGCAATTTGAGCCATTTTGTATGTCTCAAATCGCACCGCATCCGCACCAAAAAAGTGCACCCATGCAATCCGATTCTGCACCCATGCGATCCGATTTTGCACATCTCACCGCGTTTTGAGAACTGATTTCGGGGTGTCGTTAAAGCGAAGTTCCACTCAGACTGTAAAAAAAATAAAAGTCAGCAGCTGCAAAAACTGTAGCTGCTGACTTTTAAAAACAGCCACTTACCTGTCCCATGATCCTGCCGCAACCCGTTTCACCGGCTGTCCTGTATTCCAGGAGGCCAGCATCTTCAGTGTGGGCACCCAGCTGTGACAGCTTGTGGCTTCACAGCCGGGTACCCACTGCACATGCGCGAGTAGCACTGCTCTTTCTGAATGGCCCCGTCATCTTCTGGGACCTGTCACGTGTACCAGAAGACTACGGGGAGGGAGGGTAGGAGTACAACTTCAGCTTCCGATTGCCTAGGCGATCGCAATGGAAGTGGGTACCTGTTAATTTCGGGTACCCGCTCCCCCCCCACTCCCCAAAGGTGCCAATCCTAAATGGGGATTGGGGGGCCAGTCTTTAAAGTGGAACTTCCCCTTTTGGGTGGAACTCTGCTTTAACTTAAAAAACACCCGCAGTGGTTCATATGAACAGGGTGCAATTATGATGCGGTGCGGAAATCACACAGAAACCGGTGCGAATTCCGCACTGCATCAGTGTGAACCCCTGGGCTCAAGCAGATATACTGACAGAAAGCTTCAATGAACTACCACGGCGCTGTGGAGCGCACCGCATTCCTGTGCAAATCACATGCGATTTCTGTGCGGTGCAATTGAAAACTACAAGCTGACAGCCGCTATGGCTGTCAGGACTTGCAGTTCATTCTTTCACGGAAGTCCGTGAATGAATTAATAAATTGTGGCCGTGTGGGCGGAACTCTGCACAGCCATGCTGGTTTCAAATTTAACAGATCATACGGGAAGACTTCTACCTGTACTATCAATCAGAGGGAGGGGAGGCACTGGCTGCGGCTATGGGAACATGCTACATGTTCCACCCTAAAAACTGTGAGCCAGGCCTTCTCGTCCGACATCAGTGCCTGACCTCACAAATGCACTTCTGGAAGAATGGTCAAACATTCCCATAGACACACTCCTAAACCTTGTGGACAGCCTTCCCAGAAGAGTTGAAGCTGTTATAGCTGCAAAGGGTGGGCCAACTCAATATTGAACCCTACGGACTAAGACTGGGATGCCATTATTATTATTATTCAGGATTTATATAGCGCTAACAGTTTGCTCAGCGCTTCACAATATAAAGGGAAACAATACAGTTCAATACAAGAGGGTTAGGAGGGCTCTGTTCCTTGGAGCTTACAATCTAAGAAATCGTGTGCGTGTAAAAAAAGGCATCCCAATACGATTGGCAATATAGTATATATATATATATTGTGGGACCTCGCTTCAAATGGTAGAGCTTTTGTAACGCACATAGCAACTCGCTTGCTTTTTTTAAGGGCCGTTTCAGCCCACTTTTATTTAAATGACAGTTCAATAACATAAGAGGTTTCCCACGCAGGGGTATCTATCATCAATATAAAAAAGATTCAGCCTCCTGGCTCTCTCAGATATAAAAAATCTTCCTCTGGCCTTTCTCTTCAGGCTTACGTCAGTCTCCTGCAGACTCCTTCAAAAATGTCTCTCGCACACAGCTGCTCCCAAGCAGCCCTTTGCTGCTTTTGGCTTCCACCTCTCCTAGGTGAAGCCCACCTGACTTCAAGGCAGTGACCTCCTGTCTGCTGAGGTGGAGCCCAGAACCCTGGTCCTGACTCTACAAAAGAGCCATGCACACCTGAGCAATCAGTATCCTGGCCATTCCCAAAACCTGGTCCCAGGATTGAAGATTTCATCCCTCCCAAATCGCTTTGAAATCTCCAGGCTCCAGGTCCCAAAATGGACCTTACAAACAAATGAGGAAAGTGAAAAGCCACTTTCCTCTGTACCAAACACTTACCCTGGAGCCCCTCAACCTGCCTTGTTGAGAATCCTGGGTTAAATAACCTTTCAACATCATGACAGATCCCCACACTGTCACAATATATACAGTCAGGTCCATAAATATTGGACCATCGACACAATTCTAACATTTTTGGCTCTATACACCACCACAATGGATTTGAAATGAAACAAACAAGATGTGCTTTAACTGCAGACTGTCAGCTTTAATTTGAGGGTATTTACATCCAAATCAGGTGAACGGTGTAGGAATTACAACAGTTTGCATATGTGCCTCCCACTTGTTAAGGAACCAAAAGTAATGGGACAATTGGCTTCTCAGCTGTTCCATGGCCAGGTGTGTGTTATTCCCTCATAATCCCAATTACAATGAGCAGATAAAAGGTCCAGAGTTCATTTCAAGTGTGCTATTTGCATTTGGAATCTGTTGCTGTCAACTCTCAAGATGAGATCCAAAAAGCTGTCACTATCAGTGAAGCAAGCCATCATTAGGCTGAAAAAACAAAACAAACCCATCAGAGAGATAGCAAAAACATTAGGCGTGGCCAAAACAACTGTTTGGAACATTCTTAAAAAGAAGGAATGCACCGGTGAGCTCAGCAACACCAAAAGACCCGGAAGACTGCGGAAAACAACTGTGGTGGATGACCGAAGAATTCTTTCCCTGGTGAAGAAAAACACACAACAGTTGGCCAGATCAAGAACACTCTCCAGGAGGTAGGTGTATGTGTGTCAAAGTCAACAATCAAGAGAAGACTTCACCAGAGTGAATACAGAGGGTTCACCACAAGATATAAACCATTGGTGAGCCT